ACATGCCACATTATCACAGGGTGTCTGCGCCCTACACCACTGGAGAAATTACACTGTCTAGCCGGTATTGCACCACCTGACATCCGCCGGGAAGTAGCAACCAATAGTGAAAGGACCAAGGCAGAGACATCTCCAGCTCATCCCTTGTTTGGGTATCAGCCAGCACGACAATGACATCTTATAGTAACACCAGAGGTACTCCAAGTGGCCAGCTACTGGTCAAAGGACATTTGTGGTCTCTTCCAACTCTGGTTCAGGGTTATACTGTCATCATTGCTGTGAACTAGCTCTCCTTGAAAACTGTTGCACAGCTTGCAATTTGGGTTTGAACTGTGCCCTTCATATGCAATTTCAGAGAGAGGTCGAAGCGTGATGTACTTTGCATCTTTCAACACGAAGACTAAATGCATTCCTTTAGAGCAAACATGTGCAAACTCTGGCCCTCCAGATGTTTCGGACTTCAACTCTCACAATTCCTAACAGCCTTGTGGGAGTTGAAGTGGGGGTTGAAGTCCAAAACACCCCGAGGGTCCAAGTTTGCTCACGCCTGCTAAAACCCATCTGAAGATGAACACTCAATGCCCCTTTGCTCTCCCCAGAGTTGTGCTATTTTGGGCTCTCTTGGCCAACGAGCCAGAGGATGGAACATTGGCGCAGCATGTAAATAAAACTTAATTGCGGAATCCGTCTTTGGCCAATGATGAGTGACCGTGTCAGCGGCCTCTAAATTGCAGCCCCAATGTTTAGACAGCCAGCCACGGTCCCAGAGACAGGGATTAACTCCTTAATTTGATCGACGAAACATCACCCGGAGCATTTGGAGAGCGTCTTGAGGCGTACAGTGACGATGCGCCTTATTTGATCAGTTTCCGACTGACCTTTCCCGACTTAGCAAAATAAATCCCGATTTAGATTGCCAGATAGAAGAAAGCCCATTTCTCTTCCAAGTCCATTCCAGAAACAGATTTGGCCTTCACATTGCATTTCCCCAAAAAGGACAAGAAGTCAATTTTCCTGGGTTTCTAGAAGAGGAAGACAGGTGAGTCCGTAATGCAAAGCGACAAAAGGCCCCACTGATACTCGGAAGATTAACAAAGGTATTTGAATGTGAGCTCTAATAAATGGGTTAGCCTTTAAAACGCTACAAGACTCTGCCAAAGGGTAGAATGCCGTATAATACAACCTGGCTTCTATGTTCCATTGCTTAAGCTGCCTGGCATCAACACAAACAATGGGGCCACTCGTTAGACGCTTCTGCCACAGAGTTGAAAAACACACCACACAGAACACGGAGAGGACAAAGTTGGTAGCTTAAGCTTTCATAGACTAAGTCCATTTTTTCAGATGCATGACTTAAGTCAGTGTTTCTCAACCTGGGGGTCGGGACCCCTGGAGGGGTCGTGAGCGGAGTGTCAGAGGGGTCGCCAAAGACCATAAAAAAACCAGTATTTTCTGTCGGTCATGGAGGTTCTCTTGTTGGTGGGGTTCAGAATGCTGTTTTGATTGCACGTGAACTATAAATCCCAAATGTCATTGTTTATTTTCCCTAAACTCCACCAGTGTTCACATTTGGGCATATTGAGTATTTGTGCCAAGTTTAGTCAAGATCCATCATTGTTTGAGGCCACAGTGCTCTCTGAACGTAGGTGAACTACAACTCCCAAACTCAAAATCAATGCCCACCAAACCCTTCCTGTATTTTCTGTTGGTCATGGGAGTTCTATGTGCCAAGTTTGGTTCAATTCCATCGTTGGAGGAGTTCAGAATACTCTTTGATTGTAGGTGAACTATATATCCCAGCAATGACAACTGCCAAATGTCTAAATTTGGGTGTATCGGGTATTTGTGCCAAATTTGATCCAGGGAATGAAAATGCATTCTGCATATCAGATATTTACATTATGATTCATAATAGTAGCCAAATTACAGTTATGAAGTAGCAATGGAAATAATATGGTTGGGGGTCACCACAGCATGAGGAACTGTATTAAGGGGTCATAGCATTAGGAAGGTTGAGAAACACTGACTTAAGTCTTCGTCCAGCAACACTTATTATGCTCCCAACTTCATGCTCTGAGTTTCTCGGGTGCTACGAAATCCCTTTGCAGGCTGAGATCTCAGACTAAGGCATTCCCTTTGAACTCTATCACACAGTATAGCTTAAGTTGGCAACTGCCACGATTGAAAGACATTTATCTGCTGGGGGAAAAGGACGGGAGCACCTCTTGCACTTTTAAAAATAGATCCTTTTCAAGCTGGAAAGAAAGATTCCAACAGAGAACACTGCGGTGCAGAAGTCAGAATTGCTCCACCTTTCTTCAACACATGTATTCAAGCACTAATAATATAACCCAGGCATGGGCAAACTTCATCCCTCCAGGTGTTTTGGACTTCAACTCCCAATAGCTTACCAGCTGTTAGGAATTGTGGGAGCTGAAGTCCAAAACACCTGGAGGGCGAAAGTTTGCCCATGCCTGGTCTAGGGAATCAGGGTTGGACAGACTGATGAGTGGGGATGTGGTGCAGGCATGTACAGCACGCTCTAGGCCATCACCGCTCAAGAAGGGAGCTTTGAAATGGTGGAACAGAAGCTCTCAAAACCTTTAGGTGCTCTTACTGCCTATTACAGGGAAAGCCAGCTGATTCCGTATCCATCTAAAATGCAGACATGTGCTTTTCACCTTAAGAGCATTGCTTGAATATCAAGCAAATAGTGGGTGCTATTAATAACATCATATGAAAGCCCAGACTGGCACAACCTGGGGATCACAATCAGACACAGTGAAGACATCTGTCCTTGCACTTTGCTACTCTGCTGCTGAATACACATGCCCAGTGTGGAATACATCTCACCTCTTGGCATGTTTCTCTCTTTCGCCCTCCATTTGTGCCTCTTCAAATTCTACAAGACTGCTGGTCACAGTGCTGAGAAACGTGCCAAGCCAACCCCGACCGGGACCGCCTTCCCCCTGGAAACCAATGCCCTCACTGCGAGAGAACATGCAGATCAAGAATAGGGCTCCACAGTCACCTACGTACGCTGAACTTGGAAGACAATCCTACTTGGACAATGAGGGATCGCCTAAGCAACTAACATCTCACCACGTTAAAAAAGCAGATGTGGCTCTTTAATGAGACATGCTGCACTATCACAGGATGCCTACGCCCCACACCACTGGAGAAATTACACTGTTTAGCCAATATTGCATCACCTGAGATCTGCCAGGAAGTAGCAGCCAGTAATGAAAGGTCCAAGGTACTGAAATCTCCGGCTCTGTTGGGATATCAGTCAGCATGCCAATGTCTTAATTAAGACACAGCTTCCTAAGATCGACAGAGATACTCGCAGGAACATCTCAGCAAGCGAGAGTCCAAAAGTGGCAGGCTAAAAGCCTGTTGTTCAAGTACTGTATATACTCAAGTATAAGCCTACTTTTTAACCCTTTTTTTAAGGTTGAAAAAGTCCCCCTCGGCTTACATTCGAGTCAATGTTATTTGTTATTTTATTCTGTTGTTGTTGTTATTATTATTTTATTACATTTATTATTTTACTCTCTTTATTATTATTGTAAGGATACATAAGCACATTTACATTAAAGAAGGTTAGAATAATGGTTTTTATCTTAAATTACAGTTTTATGTATATATTCAAAACATTTAACCTACTGATGCCTCAATTAATGTAATTTTATTGGTATCGATTTTTATTTTGAAATTTACCATTAGCTGCTGCATTTTCCACCTTCAGCTTATACTTGAGTCAATCAGTTTTTCCAGTTTTTGGTGGTAAAATCAGGTGCCTCAGCTTATATTTGGATCGGCTTATACTCAAGTATATACAGTATGTTATGTATGCATGTATGCATTTATACGTATTGTTGTTATCTTTATTTTTATTTTCTGTTGAATATTTGTATTAAAAACGGGGGAAATAAGCTAAAGTTTTGCCAAGAACCAAAGAGCAATTACACCCATAGCATGTGAACACCTGTGCACAGCTCCAAGGTCAGAGCCAGGGTGAGCGGAGAGGCAGGAGAAACCCACGGCTTCTGAGAAAGCAAGACGTGGCCTCCCGGAAAAGGCTGCCCTCTGCCATAAGCCAAGGTCTGCCCACAAACAGCTGCTTAAGACTGTCCGTTGGTGGATGACGGCCACTGGTAGCCCCGAGTGCGCTGCCAAGGGGCAATGCAACAGATGGCAAGCTGACATACAAGCAGAATCATTAATTATGCTCCCGTAATAGTCTCGGGGCGCTGAGAAGGAACATGCTGCCTGGCTAGAAGTGGTACGCGTCAGATAAATGACACTCCGCCATGCCCACGTGGGTCCCTGGCTGCTGCTGAGTTCTGGCCCATGGTCAATGGCTATTTATACCTGCTTTTCTGTTCTCTCAGATCAAGAAAATACATGTTTAAATCATTGAACCTCATAAACAGTTATTACAGGGTTGAAAAAGGACTGAGAAGATTTCAGTATTATGGTAATTTGCAAAGACATCTCTCGAAGAATGGGTGACACATACACCTCCTTAGCATGTCAAGCAAGGCTTCACAAGACACAAAAAATAGTATGTTACTGGCATTGAGAAAGGGAAAGTGCTGTCTGGCCATCTGATCCATCCTTCAAGGAAGATAGTATTTTAAGGCATCCTCCTTGAACATTATATGTGCACAGCTCAAGCTTAAAGATCTGGGTCTGCCAACTCCCTTTCCACCATGCCTGCCCTACAGTTTTGCAGCAGATGCTTGTGGTGTGATCCCACATTATAGCGGAGCAGAGAAAGCTGTGTCTGAAGCAGCAATGTGTGTTCTCTCATTTTGGGCACATGCCATGCAAACACAAGAGCGGCAGTTCCCTCTAAGATCCACACAGAGTGACAAAGGACACGTGTCTTCAGTCATGACAACTTATTCCCAGTATGCACTACGGAGACTCTTTAAAGAACTTGCACAGGAGCAGAAAGAGGGAAGCCTTTGAGCCCCCGCCTGCGCGACACTCACTTCCAGCTTCTTCTCCTTCTCTGTCAGCACGTCCTTCTGGTTCTGCGTGTACTCAATCAGCATGCGTGCCAGCTGGCGCCGGTCCTCCAGCTCCGCCGCCAGGCGACCATTGTACTCCGCGAGTAGCAAACACGCCTCGTCTACCGTCTTTGAAAGGCGCTCCGCAGCCTCTTTGTCTGGGAAGAAAAAGGGGCAAAGAATTTACACGGGCTCCTTGCAAACCCTTTTGTGCCAATGACACAAAAACAGCAACCCTCTTCCCCTGGCAGCCTCTCCTCTGTGGCGGATTTGCGATGGAGAGGAGCTCACGCTGACGGACAAGCAAAGTGACCATTGCCTTCAAAGAGAGATGGAGGCATACGAGCACTGACCTCTCCTGACGCTCGTGGAGACTCTTCAACTCGGTGCATTGTGTGCATTTGCATTTTTCAGGAGAGCAAAAAAGGCACTGCCAGGACTAGCTATGTCCAGAGAGATGCCAAAAGGCCGACTATTATGTATTGTCGAAGGCTTTCATGACCAGAATAACTGGGTTGCTGAGGGTTTTCTGGGCTGCGTGGCCATGTTCCAGAAGCATTCTCTCCTGACATTTCACCCACATCTATGGCAGGCACCCTCAGAGGCTGAGAGGTCTGTTGGAAACTAGACAACTGAGGTTTATATATCTGTGGAAAGGTGTCTAGGGTGGGAGAAAGAACTCTTGTCTGTTTTAGCCAAATATGAATGCTGCAATTGGCCACCATTAGCATTGAATGGCCTTGCAGCATCAAAGCTTGGCTGCTTCCTGCCTGGAGGATCCTTTTTTTAGGCGGTATTAGCTGCCCCTGATTGTTTCCTGTCTGGAATTCCCCTGTTGTTTTTGAGGGATGCTCTTTATTTATGTATTTATTATATTTTAATCTGTTTTTACCACATTACTGTTTAATTTTTTAAACTTCTGTATTGCTTTTTAAAAACTTGACTAAAATGTGGGATTGTTAGCTGCATTGAGTCCTATTGGGGAGAAAGGTGGGGTATAAATAAAGTTAATAATAATACTAACACTGCTACTAATAATAACTTCTTGACAGTTAAGAGATGTTTGGCAGTGGAATATGCTGTCTGAGAATCTGGTGGACTTTCCTTCTCTGGAGGCTTTTGAACAGAAGTTGGATAGACATCTGTGGAGAGGGCTTTGATAGTGGCTTCCTGCCTAGCAGAAAGGAGTTGTGCTGGATGACCCCGGGGGGTCTCTTCCAACTCAATGATTCTAACAGCAGTTGTGACACAATCTAAAAAGTGGCTGGGAATCACTTGCTCCACTACATGTTGCTCGACTGCAGCTCATAGCATCCATGCCTTACTGACTATGTTGGCTAGGGTTCATCAGAACTGGCCGTGGCTAAGTGGCTGTTAGGAATTTTATTTAATTATTTATTTACAGTATTTATATTCCGCCCTTCTCACCCCGAAGGGAACTCAGGGCAGATTACAATGTGCATACACATGGCAGACATTCAATGCCACAGACACACAACATATATAGACTGACATGCAGAGGCTATTCAACATTCCAGCTTTTTCATGAGGGTATTCTGGCCACCAGGGGAGCTGTTGCTCCACTGTCCATTTGTGACATTGATGAAGTATCTCCTCATTCTTTGCATGCTTGCTGGAGATTTTTATGACATTGTAAATTAGCCTCCCCGCATTCCCTACATGACAGATTATTATTAACTTATTATTAACTTTATTTGTACCCCGCTAGCATCTCCCGAAGGACTCGATGCAGCTTACAAAGGCCAAGGCCTCAATACACAACATAACAATACAAACCTAAAGCAAATTAAAAACAATTAAAGCAATATTAAACAACAAAACAACAAGCAATAAACAATACACCAAAGCACAATAAAACTGGCCGGGCCAGAGTAAAGGGTACAGAATTAAAAGTGCTGATGTGACAGGTGATATGTAAGGATTATAGGGTAAGTGCAGTGTGCAGTGTGCGGCAATCTTAGTTCTAATAAAGTTCTAATACAACTGTCTTTCGGGCTGCAAAGGTCGACAGCAAGCTACACAAATTGGTCAGAAGCTCACTCCAACCCAGGCTGGCTTCGAACTCATGACCTTTTGGTCAGTAGTGACCTTAATGCAGCTGACTCCCAGCCATTTAAATATCTATAAATCATCATGGGTGGTTTTTTATTATGAAAAAATAGTTAAATGTTAACTTTTCAAAAGAACGCATATAGGAAGACTTATGTAAACAAGTCTGACGAATAAAAGTGGAATGTTGTTGCACAACACATGGACAACCATCAAGGTTAGAATCCCATTGCGATTTTGCAGAATTGTATGAAATGCCCGGCGTACTTGTGGGAGCTGAAGTCCAAAACACCTGTAGGGCTGAATTTTGCCCTTTCCTGCCTTAGAACCAACCTCAACACCTCAACACCATGCGTCAAAAACATGTTTTGTCCTCCTCCGCACTCAGGTAAGGGTTTGCTTTGCTTTCTCACCTGTAATCTTCTCTAATAGGGACACGTCTTGAACCTCTTGGGGGAGGGAGGCAATTTTCTGCCGTACCGTGGCATCGCCCGAGGCGGCGTTTTCCAGATCTTGAAGGGCTTTGATCAAGTCCTCCGTCTGCACAAGAGAGGCATGAAAAGGAGATCAATGACCATTTTGAGAACTACAGCTGCCACGATGCTTCTGACATACATCACAGGCACTTTTCAAAAAGATCTCCCTCTCTAGGCAGTTGTTAGGTTTCCTATGATAGTTTATTCACATTCTGGGAAATACATACACACACTAAGCATAACAAAAATGCACTTATTTCCTGGTACAATAAACACATTTCTGCCACACTGGGCATTTATTTACCAGCAAAGATTCAATTCCAAAAAATCCGAAGAGTTCCAATCTCTTTATTGCCTTTCCCCTTAGAAAATAAAAAGCAACAGCTGGATCAGGATGTGGGTGGGTGTACTTTACTTACTTAGGCGATCCCTCGTTGGCATAGCAGGATAGTCTTCCAGGATCAGTGTTCTGGTGGGTCCGTAGGTGACTGTGGAGCCCAATTCTTGATCCGCATCTTCTCCTGCAATGAGGGCATCGGTTTCCAGGTGGAAGGCGGTCTCAAACGGGGTTGGCTTGACGCGCCTTCCTCTTGGCACATTTCCCTCTTTCGCCCTCCATTCATGCCTCTTCAAATTCTGCAGCACTGCTGGTCAAAGCTGACCTCCAGCTGGAGGGCTCAAGGGCCAGGGCTTCCCAGTTCTCAGTGTCTATGACAGAGTTTTTAAGGTTGGCTTTGAGCCCATCTTTCAATCTCCTTTCCTGTCCTCCAACATTCTGTTTTCCGTTCTTGAGTTCGGAGTAGAGCAACTGCTTTGGGCATCCGAACAACGTGGCCGGTCCAGCGGAGTTGATGGCGGAAGACCATCGCTTCAATGCTGGTGGTCTTTGCTTCTTCCAGCACGCTGACATTTGTCCGCTTGTCTTCCGAAGAGATTTGCAGGATTTTCCAGAGGCAGCGCTGATGGAATCGTTCCAGGAGTTGCATGTGACGTCTGTAAACAGTCCACGTTTCGCAGGCATATAGCAGGGTTGGGAGGACAATAGCTTTATAAACAAGCACCTTGGTATCCCTACGGATGTCCCGGTCCTCAAACACTCTCTGCTTCATTCGGAAAAACGCTGCACTTGCAGAGCTCAGGCGGTGTTTATATATTCGATCCCAAGACTTTGATTTCTAGATGAAATATTATAATGGAAGCAAGAAGCCATGGAATGCATGTTGTGTGTAGATACCACCACATGGCTCTACCAAAGGCATGGGCCAACTTGTTGTAGATACCAAGTTGTGTGTAAATACCACCACATGGCTCAACCAAAGGCATGGGCCAACTTGGTGTAGATACCAAGTTGTGTGTAGATACCACCACATGGCTCTACCAAAGGCATGGGCCAACTTGGTGTAGATACCAAGTTGTGTGTAAATACCACCACATGGCTCAACCAAAGGCATGGGCCAACTTGTTGTAGATACCAAGTTGTGTGTAGATACCACCACATGGCTCTACCAAAGGCATGGGCCAACTTGGTGTAGATACCAAGTTGTGTGTAAATACCACCACATGGCTCTACCAAAGGCATGGGCCAACTTGGTGTAGATACCAAGTTGTGTGTAGATACCACCACATGGCTCTACCAAAGGCATGGGCCAACTTGGTGTAGATACCAAGTTGTGTGTAGATACCACCACATGGCTCGACCAAAGGCATGGGCCAACTTGGTGCAGATACCACCACATGGCTCTACCAAAGGCATGGGCCAACTTGGGCCCTCCAGGTGTTTTGGACTCCAACTCCCACAATTCCTAACAGCTGGTAGGAATTGTGGGAGTTGAAGTCCAAAACACCTGGAGGGCCCAAGTTGGCCCATGCCTGATCTACCACGTTGTTTAGGAAATTACTTGTATGTTTTGTGCTAATATAGGAACTCTGATCATGCAGAAGAGCAGGTGTGACGCCTCTCTGCTGTCCTCCTGTATCCTGTGTTGAAGTTTGCTTAGACTTCACCTGGGAAAAACCCTGCGGCCAGTTTTGGACAGCAACATTCAAGGAGAATATTGACAAGATAGGTATCTGCTGGGAGGGTTTGGATTGTATCTTCCTGCCTGGCAGAAAGAAGGGGGTTTGATTGGATGGCCTCTTGGGGTCTTTTCCAGCTCTAGGATTCTATGAGCTCAAGGTCTGCTCCTTACAAAGCCTTGTGCCTCTTATTACAACTCCCTTGCAAGCTGGACGGAGTAGGCCCGGGCCCACTGTGCCATCTGCCGTGTCAATATTTGCATGCCTCAGGACTCCTATGAGAACCCAGACCGCCGACAGCAATCACAGAAAATGTGGAGAGCTTTTTCTTCTGGTCCAAACAACAGACAACCTTGGGGCTTAGCGGGGAAGTGAACCCAAGTTTAATGAACTTCCCGAGACTGTCTATTAGCCACACAAATTAAATCACAGCCTGCTGGGTTGCAGCAAGCTGCCTGCCTGGCTTTTCTTCTTTTTTATTTTGTGGCCAGCGTGGCAATTTCAAGGGATAATATTTGTTTTATGTTCTCTCTTTCAGCGCCGTTTCATGCTCTCCCTCCCTTTGTGCGCTCCAATGGCTTTTGGAAAAGAAGTGGAGCTGCAGCCCTTGTCAATGGCGCCCCCAAGAGATGCCCAAATGGATGGGATGAGCACCGAGAAATACATAGTTGTCCTGCTGCAAATCAGACTGGGATTTGGTAATTGGTTATGATAATGATGGGGACATTTATCAATGTTGGGTTTTATTAATAGAATGTTATTAAAAGCAGAAGTGTGGTTATACAATATCATATAAATGGAACAGACTAATGAGGGAGAAAAACTATCAGATAGTGAGTGAGAGATTAGTTTTGTTTGTGTGTGTGTGTATACTTGTGTGTTTTACTCCTGTGCTTATGTTTGGTTATTGATAGTAGAGATTTTCAGCTTTAGTGCTATATCAGCAGTGATTAGAATGTGGCATTTTTTTAAAAAAATGCCAAAAAGCATAATCTGTGTAACATCTTGTCTCCTGTGCTATGTTAATAATATAATATAATGCAATATAATATATTATATATTCATATATTTTAGAATATTATAATGTAATGCAATATAATACTAATACTAATAATAATATGATATTACAACTATATATTTATATTTATTTTATTTATTGCGCATCAAAAGCATTGCATAAATTAGTATAAAACTGATAAAATAGAAGGTATGCAGGCAGCTAAATATCTTTTGGCCAAAAACGGGCAACAGCAACGGCATTGTCTGTAGCCTCCAACAATTCCTCCTCTGTACATGAGGCAGGGCAGAATGGACAAGCATACAGATGCTTTTTAAATATTTATATTACATGTAATATTACTAATAATATTACAATATAATGGTATAATACAATATAGGAATATTTAATACTTATACTGTGCTAATAATACCGTATCTGTATTATTACTGTACTATGTACTATGTACATAGTACAATACTGTACTATGCTAATAATACCAGCTGAACAGTATAATTTCTCCAGTTGTGTGGGGCATAGACATCCTATGATAATGTGGCATGTCTCATCCACTGTTTTAGGTTGTGAGATGTGTTCCACACTGGGCATGCATACTCAGCAGCAGAGTAGCACAGCGCAAATGCAGATGTCTTCACTGTGTCTGGTTGTGATCACCAGGTTGTGCCAGTCAGCTTTCGTATGATATTGTTTCTAGCACCCACTTTTGCTTGATATTCAAGCAGTGCTTCTTGTAGGTTAGAGAATGGTCCAGGGTAACTCCCAGGTATTTGGGTGCGCTGCAATGCTCCAGTAGGATTCCTTCCCAGATCATCCTCAGAACTCAAGATGCTTGTCTGTTCTTAAGGTGAAAAGCACATGTCTGTGTTTTAGATGGATCAGGAATCAGCTGGTTTTCCCTGTAATAGACAATAAGAGCACCTAAAGCTTCGGAGCGCTTCTGTTCAACCATTTCAAAGCTCCCTTCTTGGGCGGTGATAGCACGATCATCAGCGTAGATGAAACTCTCTGTCCCTTCTGGCAGTGGCTGGTCATTTGTGTAAATGTTAAACATTGATGGAGAGAACACGCTCCCCTGAGGCAGGCCTTTCTTCTGTTTTCACCATCTGCTTCTCTGGCCCTGGAACTATGAAGCAGATCAGGTGGTAGTCCTTTGCGATATTATGAATTTTTCTCAGGGAAAGGTGATGATTTACAGTATCACATGCTGCTGACAGGTCTATGAAGACAGCTTCTGTAATCCACTGCCTTTCAAAACCATCTTCAATGTGAAAGTAATAATTGTACTTTGGGTTATTATCATAGATTTCTTGCTACATTCCCACGTAGAACAAAAATAGCTTGGAATGGTAAAATAACATTGAGAGGAGTAGGGTGTTTGGAATGAAGGTGGGCTCCCTTTTGTGAGCTCTTGAGCTCTCTCCTTGACTCCATGCTCTATACTCACCCCTCCCTCTCTATGAGGGGGCTTTCTCATGCAATCAGTGATCACCATCTGATTGCCATGTACATTCTGATTTTAATTTTTAAAATGTGTACGTCACAATATATATGTATATACTGTATGTGAGGCCCCATGAACCATAACAAATGCAAAAGATTCACCGGCTGTTAGGAATTCTGAACTGAACTGAACCATTCACAGCGTGAAAGTACCCCCCCCCCCCCCACAAATCCAAAAAAACAAATCTTGATTTTGCCATTGTATATAAGGGCCACCATTTTACTACACCATTGTACACAATGGGACCAAGACATCCATGGAATTTGGTATCCATGGAGGAGTTCCTGGAGCCAGACCTGGGCAGGTACCCTGTAATTAAATAAAATGAGACAAGAGAAGCTTCCCCATCATTCCTCTTCTTCATCAGACTCACTTCTTGGACCATGCTCATTCTCTCTAAATCCAGCATTGGGAAACTTCGGCCTTCCAGGTGTTTTGGACTTCAACTCCCACATTTCCTAACGCTCTGAAGTCCAAAACACCTGGAGGACCAAAGTTGGCCCATGCTCAGTGTAGAAGGACAAACTGGAAAGTGTTTAGAAAAGGGTGATCCTAATGGTCAAAGGCCTGGAAGCCAAGTCTTATACAGAGTGGTATAGAGAGCTGTATATATGTCTAGCTTGGAGAAGAAAAGGCTGAGAGAAGGAGGCATGAAACCCAGGCTTAAATATTTGAAAGCATGTCTCTTTGAGGAAGGGACAAGCTTGTTTTCTGCTGCTCTACAAAATGAGACACAAAACAAGAATTATTCAACTTCCAGGAAGGAGTGCAGTGGAGTCTCCTTCTCTAGAGGTTTGTAAGAAGGTGCTAGATTGCCATCTGTTGGGAAGGCTTTGCATTTTCCTGCATGGAAAGTTTAGCTAGATAGTCTCTTCTGTCTCTAAGATTCTACACTCATCTTTTCCCCGCAAAACCCCGCTGAAGACCTACCAGAAGGGGCCCCGCATTGGGGTCCGGGGGAGAGTAGCTCCCAGGGTAATCGTCATCTTCCTCCTCTTGTATTTGCTGAAATGTCCGCTTCAAGGACTTCTTCTCCTCTGTAACTGAAAACACAGACTCCTTCAAGGACTTTTTCTTCTCTGCAACCGAGAACAGACATTGAGGTTAGCAATGAGGTCATTGAAGAGCACTTTTGTGGCCGGGGAGGGATGCCAGGCACTGTTTGCATTTCCTTTGGGAGACGGGGACTAGGCCTGCACATTTTAAAACCACAGTTCTCCTGCCAAGATTCATACTATGCCAGCCACTATGTGGCAGAGTAAGCCTGCTACCCTTGAGCTTGCTGGAAAGAAAACAAGGAGCCTCAGCATTCATTTCTTTTGATTTGGATTATACACTGAGTAAATTGCAATTATGCCTACAAGCATGAGCCAGACTCCTGCTTAGGTATTACGCTGGCAGTGGCAGAGTTGCCCACTTCTAGACAAGGAAAGAACACAGAACCACCTGGCTTTAAGTTACCTACACTGCAGACTGTGAAACCTTGCTAGAAAACAGCCAGCGCCAAAGAACTTTTGGGGTCTTAGTGGACCACAAGCCAAACCTGAGTCCAAAACCCAATGCAATTCCAGGTGGCATCATCAGGAGCCTAGTGTCTCGATCAGTCATAGGCAAATTTGGGTCTTCCAGGTGTTTTGGACTTCAACTCCCACAATGTCTAACAGCTGGTAGGCTGTTAGGAATTGTGGGAGTTGGAGTCCAAAATACCTGGTGAGTCCAAGTTTGCCCATGCCTGATCTAGATCCAGGAACGTCATAGTACTTCTATATTCTACCTTGCTCAGGTGTCACCTGGAGCAACATTGTGTTTAGTTCTAAGTGCCACAATTCAGGTAGAAGATAAACGAGAAGAGAGTGTCGGAATTAGTCAAAGGTCTAGAAATCATGAATCCTGCTGAGAAGAAGCAGAGGTAGCTGGGAAGGGTGAACTTGGAAAAAAAAGGCTGTGAGAAGGGGAGAACCATGTTTTAATATTTGAAAAGAGGGGACAAACTTGTTTTCTGTTGCTCTACAGAGACCAGGACACAATGGAGCAAGGATTCCAATTCCAGGAAAGTGATTGCCCGTGAATACAAGGAAGAACCTCCTGGTGGCAGGAGCTATTCAGCAGTGAGATATGGTGCTTCAGAGTGTGCAGAATCTGTCAGGATTTGGAAATTAACTGACATTTTCTAAGTGATAGCAGGGTTTATACTTCTGCCCTAACCACCTGTAAAAGAGTTAAGACACCGTAATTAGGTTGTGGTGGTTAATGTAGTGGAAGTGGTATATAGGTTGTAGATATTTATTTATGTAAATAAATAAATATAAATATTTATGTAAATATTTATTTATTTATTTATTTGAAACACTGATATTCCACCCTTCTCACCCCGAAGGGGACTCAGGGCGGAGCACAGCATATATTATTATTATTATTATTATTATTATTATTATTATTATCATTATTTGTACCCCGCTAGCATCTCCTGAAGGACTCGATGCGGCTTACACAGGCCAAGGCCTCAATAAAAGTATAGCATAACAAAATACACAACTTAAAGCAAATCAAACAATATATATATATATGGCAAACATTCAATGCTGGGACACAAATTCACATACGCATACATAAACATTAAAAAACATTTATCAAAATATTAAAATACACCATTTAAAACCATTCTAGTCATCCGCATCAAGTCTAATTGGCTTGGTCATCTTTCCTATTGACGCTTTATTGCCCTGTCCCAAAAACTTGGTCCCACAGCCAAGTTTTTACCATCCTTCTAAAGGACAGGAGAGAGGGGGCTGACCTGATCTCACCAGGAAGGGAGTTCCATAGCTGGGGAGAAATCACCGAGAAGACCATGTCTCTCATCCCCACCAATCGCACCTGTGACAATGGCAGGACGGAAAGCAGGTCCTCCCCGGAGGATCTTAATCTCCGCGATTGTACATAAGGGAGATACATTCAGACAGGTAATTTGGGCCGGGGCTGTTTAGGGCTTTATAGGCCAAATCCAGCACTTTGAATTGTGCCCGGTAGCAAACTGGCAGCCAGTGGATCTGGTGTAACATGGGAGTTCTATGCTCCCTGTATGCCGTCTCAGTTATTAACCTGGCTGCCTCTCGTTGGACTATTTGAAGCTTCTGAGCAGTCTTCAAAGGCAACCCCACATAGAGTGCGTTGCAGTAGTCTATCCTAGATGTAATGAGAGCGTGGACCACGGTGGCCAAGTCTGACTTCCCAAGGTACGGGTGTCATCCTGAGTAAGCTTGATAAAGGTTGTTGAAGGACAGATGGTGGTTTGGAAAACTGCTGCTGTGAGTATTGAGGAAGAAGCTGTAAAGTTTGTATGTTTTGTATAGTGCTGCAACAAAGGAGAAAGAAAAGCCTTCCTGCTTATTTGGGAAAGAACAAAAGTCTCTGCGTGTTTTGTTGTTCAAGTAGAACACCACGACAATGGTGGTTTTTGATAGCTGGTTCCTTAACTGGAACTAATAGCGTCACTTCCACAAGAACAGGACTTTTATGATTGCACAGAACCCTTGACATAAATCTCCATCTCTGGATATTTTGCAACTGAGGCAGGATGGCCCATTGTCAGGAGGGACTGGATGGCATCATCCTGCATGGCAGAATGGGCTAGGACTGGATGGCCTCTGGGGGTCCCTTCCAAACTCTATGATTCTATAAGAAACAAAACCAGGGATTGCTCCTGGAAGCTGCTGGAAGTCTATTCACGAGGAAGAAATGTCATTTTTATGAAGTTTGTGCAGGAAATAGAAAGGGCGACCATGGATGCTATCAATAAAGAACTTGAATGAAAGTTCACAAGGGCCCAAAATCACTAATTCAAAGACTGCAGAGCTCGAGATCTGGGTGCTAAAGGTACTTTCCTCTGCCTTGGGTCCCATGTTGCAAAATAAATAAGGGGTGCAAAATAATAAGGGGTGATGTCATCAGACAGCGGATGTGGATCTCCCCAATTGCTCTTGCGCTGTGCTACTCTGCTGTTGAGTATGCATGCCCAGTGTGGAACACATCTCACCACACTAAAAAAGTGGATGTGGCTCTTAATGAGACATGCCGCATTATCGCGGGGTGTCTGCGCCCTACACCACTGGAAAAATTACACTGCTTAGCCGGTATTGCACCACCTGACATCCGCCGGGAAGTAGCAGCCAATAATGAAAGGACCAAGGCAGAGACATCTCCTGCTCATTCCCTGTTTGGGTATCAGCCAGCACGCCAGTGACTTAAATCTAGAAATAGTTTTCTAAGATCTACAGAGACACTCGCTGGAACACCTCAGCAAACGAGAGTCCAAAAGTGGCAGGCTCAAACCCAGAACCTCAACCAATGGCTAATACCAAATGAGAGACTCCCCCCTGGGCACACAGAAGACTGAGCGACCTGGAAGGCGCTGAACAGACTGCGCTCTGGCACCACGAGGTGCAGAGCCAACCTTCAGAAATGGGGCTACAAAGTGGAATCCACAACATGCGAGTGTGGAGAAGAGCAAACCAGAGGCCACCTGCTGCAATGCACCCTGAGCCCTGCCACATGCACAATGGAGGAACTCCAAGGGGCCAGAGACTGGTCAAAGGACATTTAATCAACTACCAAGCTTGCAAACTTTGTGTTTTGTTTGTTTGTTAAAAATGCAATACAACTGTTTGGTTTGCTCCTGACACGATAAAAAATTAAATCAGACATACAGTTCAAGGAGGTGCATGCTCTCAACTTTCGCAGACAAAAGGTAATATAGGGATTGGCTACTGCAATGGTTGGCTAGGTCAGCACGATTGGCCCCAAACTGCAGCCCCAGCTCCCACCCTTTGCTTCCTTTGGAGGAATCAATCCGTTCACCTGCAGTATCCGCAAAGGGCACAACATGCCAGGTTTACAGAAAGGGTTTTTTTTTTTTTATTATTGTTAAGGGCTATCAGTACAAAGTTATCTTAGCCAGGAGAATAATATGCTGCCTGGTATTCATGCCTGCCTATTCAACAGGAGGGAAGGCTGAACCTGCTGCCTCTCGCAGATACGAGGAGCACTGAGCAAATGAATTCAGATCGATTTTGCAGCATCTCCCCGGGGAAGGGGGGAAAGGGCTGTATATTTCTTCAAGAGGGTGAAGATAAGGGATGCGTGCCCACAAAACAACCTCCACACGGAGCTGTATCAGCCTTCCCATCATCAAATAACTTCTTGGGTACAAGGAGGACACAATGCTTCAGCCTTCCCCTGACTGCCACAATAGAGCCCATATTTCAATTTCCTCCCTCTCTCTACCCATCACTACGTTCGCTGTTTCTGTTCCCATCTTTTGAGAGAAGTCTGCTCTTTTCCACTTTCCATTTCTAGAGCAAGTTAGTTGCTTGGATTGTGCACTCATTGAAGAAAGTCCCAAGAAGTAATGGGGTGGGGGACAGATTTGGGAATGAAAAGCCATACAGGTGGACCAAATTTGCCGATGAGACCAAATTGGGAGGGAGAACTAATACTCCAGAGGACAGGATCCTGATTTAAAATGACCTGGATTAGAGAGCTCATTGGCCAAAACTAACCAAAATATGAATTTCAGCAGGGAAACATGTCAGATTGTACACTTCAGAAGAAAAAAATAATAATTACACAAATATAAGGTGGAAGACACCTGGCAAACATAAGGCAGATAAAACCACCTGGCTCTAAGCCATCTACCTTGCACATTTATTTATTTATTTACTGTATTTGTATACCGCCTTTCTCAGCCAATCAGCGACTCAAGGTAGTTTCCAACAAATCACATAAAAACATAATACAGATTAAAACATTAAACAATATAAAACACCACAAAAGCAATAAAAACAACATCATTAGCGTCTCATTATTCTCAAGCATTGTCCAGTTCCATTGTCAAATCGTTTGATTTCCTATATTAGCTACTCTGCATTTGTAAATGCTTGCTCAAACAGCCATGTTTTAACTTGCCTCCGAAACGTTAAGAGGGAGGGAGCAGATCTAATCTCCCTAGGGAGGGTGTTCCATAGCCGAGGGGCTACCACTCAGAAGGCCCTGTCTCTTGTCCCCGCCAAACGTACTTGAGATG